AAATCACTCCAGCAGTAACTCCGACCACGAAGTACTCACCTTTCAGGTCCTCGGCCAGCTTCTCTACTCGCCCAGACGCTTTCTTCTCCTCCTCCTGGAGTTGCTCAACGGTTTGGTGCAGCTAGCCGAGCTCCGCATCTTGCTCTACAAGCACAACAGTCGTCAGCAACAATATGGCTGTTCAACAATACAAAGCAAAATCACCGATACGCCATACCCTTTCTCTGCTTGGAGATGTTTCTGAGCTGCTCGGATTTCCGCTCTAGCTGCTCGGACAAACTCATCAGCTGCTTGGACCTACCCCGTAACTGCTCGGACACAGTCACCAGGTGCTCAGATAGAGCCCCCTTCTGGTATTCCAGATCCCGTGCTTGAGACTCGACAAGATCCCGCTCGCGCTAGGCCCTCTGGACGTTTTTCTCCATAAGCTTCATCGCCTCCTTCAGCTTCGCATTTTCTTCAGCAAGGGGCTCCATCCTCTTGATCAGCTGGCGCCGTTGTTCGGCAGTCCGAGCTATCCCCTACAAAAGCACCAAGACTATGAAGAACTCCAATCTCCAATGTTAAAGATGAACATTGATGACGCAATGCTAACCTTGATCTGCTTCATCGCCGTCGACAGGGTGGACTCCAGCCTCCTGAGCTCCCTGGTGGTGTCCTCCTCCTCAACGACCACCACTTCGTCGCCCCGCTTGCGGAGGATTCGGACGGCTTGGGGTCGTGATTCCTCATGTTCGATCTCTTCCACCTTGTCCTCCTCCACAGCTGGCGGCACCACCAGGGGGCTTGGTGGATGAATAGCATGTTCAACCACGCCCTCTGATGCCTGAGGGAGCACTGTCTGCTCCTCGGGCACCACCGGCTTATCTGTTGTAGACTCCGGCGTGGCGTCGACAACTCCAGCGTCCACCTCCGAAGACCCGGCGGCTACCGCCATTGGCCCAGGCACCGTCGCCGACCCATCCGCCGCCGATGCCAACCGTTCGCTGCCCCCAAGTCCACCAGCAGGGACACTTGACTCCTCCGTAGGCTGCCGAGCACCTAGAGACTCTAGGATGGGATCTGCCGGCGTCGCCTCCGCACCGAGACCAGCCCTCGTTTGCTCACCGATCTGAGCGGACGGATTCAATTCCTCCTTACGCCTTGCTCTGCATCAAATTAGCTCGTCAATCACCGAAAGAGATAAGGATATGACAACAAAATAACAAAAGGCGAGGATACTTACGTGTCGGCCTGTCGGTACACTTTTCTGAACTGGCGCTACCTACCCGAGCCCCCAGGCGCGGCCCTGGGGGCGACTCCCGCGCCCTGGGGTGGAGGTCTCACGGTCTCTGCCGTTGGCCTCTCCTCTACCTGCTGCTCTGGGACTCCCCTCACCTATTGCTCGGGGACTCCCTTCGCCTACTGCTCGGGGACTCCCTCTCCTCCCTTCGATCGCTCCTCTGCGCGCGTGCTATGCGGAGGCGCTTTAGTGCTCGGAGGCGAAGCTACTAGAGCCCCGTCGTCATCCGACCACTCAGACATCGCCACACTTTGCGTCCGAGTGGTTTGGTCACCGCCAAGCGAGATGCCACCCGGCTTGTGGGGGACAGCACCCACTATTTTCCTCTTCTTCTGGGCCGGCTCATCTACCGCTGCCCTCTTCCCCTGGACTTTCTCCGACACTAGGGGAGGACTCTCTGTCCGACTAGCATCTATGCCTCCGAACTCCGACGAGGTGCTGACAGCACCTTCCTCAGGCTGAGCTGGTGGTCGGGTGTCTACCGCCTGTGGCCAATCGCCCCTCGGCACGCTCGAGAAGTACACTGCTCGTTCCTGTGAATGGATCTTTCCATAAGTGAATCAGTTCACTGCTCGGCAACAGTATAGGATAAAAAAGGATCAGGAACACATTGATAAGATGTTTACTTGAGGAGGTGGGTTTGTGCAGTTAAAGGGTCTCGTCTGCCCTGACACGCTGAATGAGGCAAACAGAGCGAATAACTCTGCGGCCCGCTCTAGCACATCGTCCCTCGACAGCATCTCCATCCTCTCCCAGGTGCTGACGGTATCCCCCTTGAAGTCAAAGCCCGTGTGGGCCCTCTCCTTCCAGGGCTGGACGCGGCCCATTATGAAGCTCGCCGCCACCAGTCCACCGTTCGTCTTTACGCCCTTTATCAGGTTGAGGAGCTCCCTCACCTGATCCATATCGGTACTGCTTGGCCTCTCCGACCAGCTTTTCTGGCTCTCTGGGATGTGGTCAGCGTCGCAGCAGATGGTAGGATGGCTCTGCTTCATGTAGAATCACCTGGCGTTCCACCCCTTCAGCGACGTGTTCAGCGGCGCAGTGAGGTACTCACCCACCATTCCATCACGCAGTTGAAGATACTTGCCGCCGACCACCTTGGAACCACCGCCGCCTTTCTTCTTCAGCCAGAATAGGTGACGAAAGAGGTTGAAGTGGGGAAGAATCCCGAGATACGCCTCACAGAAATGAATGAAAATCGAAATGTGCAAGATGGTGTTTGGGTGGAGCTTGCATAGACTGACTCTCCAGAACTCCAATAGATCCCTCAAGAAAGGATGAACAGGAAATCCTAACCCGCGCTAGAAGTAATCCTCAAATACTACAGCTTCATCAGTATGAGGCATTGGGTAGGGCTCACCGCTGGCCGGCCACCATCCGGCGGTGACGCGGTCAGGAAGAACGCCCGCCTCCACCATCCTGTTGAGCTCCGCCTCCCCCGTGCGCGACGGCACCCACTCTTCATCACGGCTGATTCCGGCGCTCGCCTTCTTCGGGTTACCAGCTCCCTTTTTTAGCGCCATCTCTCAGATCTGGTTTGGGGTTGGCGGCAAAAATGCGTGTGAATATGAATCTGGAAGCACGAGGGCTAAGGAGGAAGATAAAAAGGCAAAGTGGCAAAGGTGGGAGCACGGGGTGCGACGGCGCAGTTATAAAGCACTCACCCCACCTTTCGCATTCGAGGGTTTTTGAGAAACCGCTCCACGATTTGCGCCTCTCCGAATTCTCTGAAACAACGTGGTGGGCCGTTACCTAGGCTTTCACGCAACTGCAACCCGTATCACCCATTTATCGCCGCAAGTTGTTACTGCTCACCGAATATTCACCGACTTCTCCGCCATCTGTTATGGCTCTGTAATTACTACTGTACAGCCGTTACTCCGGTTTTTTCTCCACTATTTGTTTTCTCCAAGATTTCCACTTGTGGCTCAGGGGACTTTTTTCTTTTGACTGTTTCTGACCCTGACACCAAGTGACCACGTCACCTACTGTCAGGCTTGGGGACTAAGTGGGCACACTTCACCTTGCGGTGAATGTGCTTTTCTCATTTCGGGGCTACACTCGGGGACTGGCTGCCTGCTCGGCTGGTCTTATGCTTTTCTTTATTTTGCACCATGGCACCACATGATTACGTCACCTACTGTCAGGCTCGGGGACTAATTGGGCACACTTCACCTTGCGGTGAGTGTGTTTGCTTTAATCTGTAAGACTCCGCGTCCCTTGAAGCTGAAGAAGACTATCTCCTTTTCTCGTGACCGGACTCTAAGTGGGCACACTTGGTCCACTGTGAGAAATTTTTGATTCTAAACTTGAGCTCCTTACACCCTTATGGCAAGCCGTACTTGGGTTACACTGTTCGGCGACGGCTCACAACTGCTCGGCAACTCATCATGGTGGTCGGACCATGAGTTTGACTGCTTGGCTTTGTTCGCACCTACTCGGATAGGCTCAAGACGGTGTTGCACAACGGATACAAGGCGCTCGAGGACTAGCTGTGGGGGGCACGATCCCGGATACCCACGACAGACCATATGGGCTGCGCCCCCAGGGGCGGCCCAGCCCACAAGATGAAGCCTTGCGGGGCACGACGCTGCTCGGCGTCTCCCGCAAGGCACTAGAAAGATATCCTGAAGATACTACGAGATCTGTTAGGATACGTTTGATCCCATGATTCCTGTAATCTGTTATTACTTTCTGGTTATCTTCTTGATCTAACCGACTTGTAACCCTACCCCCGGACTATATAAGAAGGGCAGAGATCCTCTCCAAACTCATGCAATATCATACGATAGCCAATACAATCTAACAGACCACAGGAGTAGGGTATATGTCATACTGACGGTCTGAACCTGTCTAACTCGTGTGTCTCTGTTGCCTTCTTGTTCTCGATTATACACATCTCTGCCGATCAATCTACCTTCGTGGGATACCCTTCGAAAATCTACCGACGATATTCTATCGACAACAAGGTCCGCAACTCAGCTAGCCGTGTTGGGACTGACCAACGCGAGAGGACACGCATGATGGAGCATTAGCATAATTTTTTTTGTGCAAACTACTTTTCCCGTCTAATAGGCGGATGAGCTCGCCCTTGCTAGCCCACAAGGCTCGCGAAGCAGTCTTGGCAGAGGCGGGCCAAATTTAAGGAATTGTTGGATGCGTTGGGCTAAACTCTAAGCAGGTCGACAGGAGGCGAGGTTGGGTTGGGCTAAGTCTAAGCGGGTTGACATGAGGTGAGGTTGGGCCATCCCTGACGCTGCGCGCTCGTGAAAACAAGTTTGAGCCTGGGCCAGCTTGAACACCTTTCTTTTCTTCCTTGATTTATGCCTTCCCTTTTCTTCTTGGGATTTCTAAATATCACTCAGTCCTTGGAGTAGGTTTGTTCTAGGATTGGTATTGGACGAGACGAATTGGTGAAGTCTGTTTGTTCTTTTTAGCAAATGGTGAAGTCTGTTTGTTGTGGGGATGTGTCGTTTTCTTGCAGTCGGCCCAATATATTGTGGTGTTCAGTTATTCGGCCTGTTTTGGTCTGGTGACGTCTTGGGCGCTTGGCGGTGGAACAGCGCGGACTCCGCGGAGGGATCGCCGCTCGCGAGAGATGCATGTCGTTCGTTTTCCGATCTCCCCGTTTCTCCGATGTGCGCGCCACGTGACTGAACAGAAACGACAAAGGATCCCAAAGGCCAAAGCCCACTCCGGCAAAGTGGAGATCCGCATGCGCGACGCGACCCTCTTCGCCTTCAGAGTTCAGATGAAGCAGGCGATCGGCGATCCTCAAGTTAAGACCTACACTGACGGTGGGTCCGTCGTTGCACTTGGACCCGCATGCCGTGTCACCGTCGCCGCGCTCCACGCCGTCGCCGGCACTCCGGCGCCTCCCCACTCGCCGGCCGCGCGCTACGGCGCTAGTGCGATAGCCGGTTATGCCAAAAGGGGCGCTGCTCTTTATATTACTGCATGTACTAATCACCTTTAGGATGTGCAGCCTGTTCGGGAGGCCGTATCGTATCGTGGATTATTTACTACTGGCTGGTTTGGTGTGAGAGAAAAACACTATTGCTGGCTGGAAATTTATGATCGTTTACGAGCAAGCGAACAGGCTGGTGGATAACGGAAAAGCGAAGCCACACTTTGGTGACCTTTCTCTTATCTCCCACATCCACCGTACGAGAACAAACAGACGGTGGATCACGCGCGTGGCACCACCCCACGACGGGGTTAAATTAAATTTTTTTAGAATGACGAGACGGGGACGGCGCGACGCGCACACCACACCACTCCTCCGGTCTCCGCTCCTCTCGCCACCCGCCCGCCTGCCTCGGAGTCGAGGCCGGCCCGTGCTCGTGAATCCTCCGTCGGGCGCGCGCGGCGGCGTCGGCGTTCGTCCGCCGTGTGCCGCCTCCCTCCATGGATTTCGTCTGCCCCGGCGATCCCGCGGTGCGGTTCCTAAAACCCCGTTAAACCCCTGCTTTTTTTTTCTATCCCGGGCGTGGGACGCTGAGGTTTTTGAATATTATCGATCGCGATGTGGTGCTAACCTGCGAGGGTTTTTGGGGGGCGATCTCTCGTTGCAGGTATGGGACGACGACGGGAGGCATTTCGGGCCGTGCTTCGCGGATTTATATCCTTTGCTTTTTGATTTTGATCTCGAGTGGATTGCAGTTCTGAGTTGGTTGTTCTCGAGTGTGGTTTGCTGTTGGTGTTGTTCTGAGGTCTCCTTAATACTTTTGTCGCGGTTGTACGGTGCTGGGGTTCGCTGGCTCTTCCTCGCCAAGAGGAACACAACCAGAGCTCAGGTACTCTTGATTTTTGCTCCACAACATCTAGTGCTTCTTTGTTTTATAAGTAATCGATCAATTTTGCGATTATTTCGAAGAGCATTTCGCTGTCTACGTTCACGCTATGTTGAAGTCCAACTTATGCAATCACTATCAAATGTCTAGTGCCGTTTGCATTTGTTTCACCTGTTACAGAGTCACATGACTAGCAGTTTACTCTGGTGTGGCTGTGACTAACCGCCATTGAATATTTGGAATCTGCAGGGAAGTTAGGGCCTGTTTAGTTCCCCTAATTTCCAGAATTTGGCACTATGCAAAAAGAAGATTCCCCGTCACATCAAATTTATGGTACATGCATGGAGTACTAAATGTTGACGAAATCAAAAACTAATTGCACAGTTTGGTTGTACTTTACGAGACGAACGTTTTGAGCCTAATTAGTCAACGTTTGGACAATTATTACCAAATACAAACGAAACACTACAGTAGCAGACACAGTAACTCTGACGGCGCCGATTCCGTGCCGAACTAAACGAGGGCTTAGTTGCTAACCACCATTTCCTCCAGATTCTGCTTTTGCATTTCGTTCAAATAGTGTAAGCGATTAGACAGCCGAGATGCATTTTCTTTTCTGGCCTTAGTTTAGATTGCAAGTTTTTTCACTATGTCTCCATCACATCAAATATTTGGACATATGCATGGAGTATTAAATGTAGATAAAAAAATAACTAATTATACAGTTTGACTGTACTTTTGAGCCTAGTTAGGCCATGATTGGATAATAATTGTTAAATACAGACGAAAGTGCTACAGTGCCAAATACTGATTCGTAACCCAATCTAAATAAGTCCTCTATCTGCATACTTTAACCTGATGTGACTCGCATTAATAACGGAGATAGTTCCCTTTTTCTGTATCAGTACTAGTTGTCTAGGACTAGTGGCTTGAGACTTACTCCACCGTCACAAAAGAACGTGACACTCAAACTGGTTTAAGTTTGACAAAGTTTATAATGAATAGTATTGATATTTATATCTCCAATAAACTTTACTATAAAAATATATTTCATAAATAATCTAATAATACTTATTTCGTATCATGAATGCTAATATTTTTTAATATAACTTTAGTCAAAGTTCAAATTCTTTGACTCGAAAATCGAGAATTTCATTTTTTTTGGATGGAAGGAGTATGTGATTGCTCATAGAGGGGGTAAAAATAAGGGCGGCATCTACTATACTGCTGCTAATTTTGAATTATGATAATTTCTTTTTGTGCTTACATTCTATGCGTGCAAAGCAATATGTTGTTGTTAATGTATTAGGCCTTATTCAAATGCCTGTGATGCTCCCAATATCGCATTATATGTTTCACATGTTTATTTTTGTGGTAGACCATTTGGAGCATTCAAGTAAAGCTTGCACTAATGATTTTGTCCTAAGTAATTGTAGGGTTAGCACCTTCAGTTACTTATGGATAAGTGGATAATTGAAACTGGATCAAGATTTCAGAAATTTGGTGCTCATACTAATACTAGGAGAATTCAAGCAGCTGGAAGCACAATATACCACCCAGTACTACATAATGATATTATATGTTCTTGCATTAAAGTACTAAATAAAACAAGATAACTTGACACAAGGCAAACCGTAAAAACAACAAATAACATTTTAACACCATATAGAAGCAATGCCCGAGGAGAGTGGCTCTGTTTACATTTAATGGCTGTTACCTGACAATTGTCTTATTTAATTTATGTTCTTCATTATTTGCACCTTGTTATGTGTAATAATAGTTCTACTATTTTAGAACGTCAGGAGAGGTTTATCGGAGAAGTTGTTTGCATTCGGTGTGCCTGGTTTTGCAGCCTGCCTTTATCTGGTTGGATTAACTATGCTAGCTAAGAAGAAATTTGAAGGGAAGGATGTTGCGAATTATGAACTATTCTTCACATGCTCCCAGTTTATTGCATGGGTAAGAACTCTGTTATCATAATGATCTTGGTTCTCTTCCGAGTCATATAAATGTTTGAACAAATGTCCTTACGGTTGGTGCTAAACATTCCTTTTCATAGATGTCTGTAACTCTTGTCCGTGTCAGTGGGGCTTGGTTTGAAATTCTCTATAACCCAATAATGTGCTTCTGCTGGATCTTGAAGACTATTCTAGAGATACCTCATTTGCAATACAGGCTTACCTTACTAAAGGTATCCCATTATTTTACAAAACGATTTCCTTTATCTTCGACATGTTAATAAAGCTGTGGAAGGCTTCTACAAAATTCTGCTGTTTTATTATGACTGAAATAAAATATTATTATTTTCGTTTTTAAACATCTATTCTAAGCTTTCTTTGATCAATAGGCAATGTCATCTTTTATGGAGATTATCTCATTTTGTACTGCAACCACATTTGGACTCTTTGTTATTGTGGCTGCTGTAGTAGGCCAATCAGGCAACAAAAGGTACCTGATTCCCCAATTTGCCTACGTTTCTGAATATTTTTTATATTTTCATTGCCTAAGATCTTGTGAACTAATACATTTTCCCTTTTTTTATTTAGCAACTAGTACATACTGTTTCATTATTGTCCTAAAAGTAATGTGCAACTGTTCACACTTTCAGAGAAGTGAACTCTATTGAAGCCCCACTCATTCTAAATGATGAAAAAGCTGAGGGTGAAATTACAAACATGGTATGTGATTTCAGTAATAAGCCTTTGGTTTTCTGTTGTACATTCAGGATGGTGCAATTTCAGTCTATGACCTGTGTAAGAAGTTTTACTTTGGTTATGGTATTGCTGTGATAATCTCATCTTATGCATGCTTTTTTTTCCCGAACTCGCATGAGAGGTGGGTATCATTATATTAAGTAGAGGCCATCTTATGCATGCCATAAAGTTGCTATTAGCTTGCAATTTGAATACATGGTCTTGTAATACATTGTAAATTTCTGTGTATGAACAACTATATTACCCACAAATTTTACAGGATCTGTGCTAGCTGCTTCATGCTGATGTGCATTGACTTCCTTATCGTTCACTATTTGGAGTTGATCATCGATATTCGGATCCTGTCCAATCTTTCTTATTTGTTTTCCATCACCAAAAGGTAATTGTGACTTCTTCCCTTAATGTTATTTTTTCAGATAAAGGACTACAATTTGTGGGAACTGTTGACTTTCAAATTCGTTAATCCAGTGATGGACATTGGTATCACAAGACAACTTGACTTCACAGATTTGCTTGAGTTACCAACTGAGCTTAGAGCTACCTCCTGTTATGACAAACTTCTGTCTTCCTGGACTGCTGAATATCAAAACCACCATGACAACTCATCTCTACTTAGAGCCATGTCTTATTCTTATGGACGGACATACTTACGTTTGGGCCTTCTTAAGGTATCCTTTTCTTTTCATTGAGGTTGTTGAATTGAGTAAAAGGATGTTGCTAGATGTCAACTCTGGGATTCATGGCATATAAAAGTTGGCGTCCTTTTGTTCTCACCTCTTTTATGGCAATTAGAAATATATCCTTTTTTTTGGCAAGGAACAATTAATATATCCTACAATGAGCAGATTACACAAGTGACCTGAAACATATTATCATAGTATTACCTGAAATTCCATGAACGGCAACATGGGATTAATTATCTTAGAACAACTTTTTCATGTTATTACCCTTATTTCAAAGTCAAGCATTCTTAAATTGAAGTTCACCCTGATTGCCTTTTAGTTTCTAACATTCTATGTGAACTTCAATTTAAGAATGCTTGACTTTGAAATAAGGGTAATAACATGAAAAAGTTGTTCAAAGATAATTAATCCCATGTTGCCGTTCATGGAATTTCAGACCCGAGCATGAGCAACACAATTGGAGGAACACCGCCGCCGCCCTGCACCACCCTGTTGTTGAGAAATTGGCTATTATAGGACTCCAAACGTTGGGTTTCTCTATAATAGGATTCTTAACGTTTGTTTCTCCAAAATAGGACTCCAAACAATTACAATAAGCTCTAATGATATTTCGGGCCATTTTAATCTCTTTTAACATCTAAATACATGTATTTGTTCCTAACGTGACCGTTTTACCCTTCAGTGTTTTGACAGTGATTGTTGTGTCGTTTTGAAAAAAAAAGGTCACTGCTGGCTGCTTGCTTCCCACGGCCCTTGGCCTTGGCTGGGCCGCTGCCTTGGCTGTCTGGCTATGGCCTTTGCTGGCTGGCCGCAGGTGCCTTGGCTGGCTGGCCGTGGCCATGGCTGGCTGGCCGTGGCTGGCTGGCCACAGCTGCCTTGGCTTGCTGGCCGTGGCAATGGCCGCCATGTACAGTTCCAAGTAATATATGTATAGTTCCAAGTAATATATAACAACGTTCCAAGTAATATATAACAAGAATTGATTCATACACAATTACAAGTAATATATAACGGCAAGAATTTAGCAACGAGTTCATCTCATAAAACCATGTTTGTAGCATAAACAAATTCATCTCAGAAGACCATAACGTAGTTCCAAACGAAATCAATGTCATATAAAATAAATCATGAGGTTACATCTCATCACAACTAAAATGCTCCATCATCAAATGTTTAGCTTTCTCCTTTTTGGAGTCATCTTTTTTGGTGGCACCGGGGTAGGCATCCTCACGGGGCTAGCATTGTCAGTTTGTGAAGATGTGCCCTCTCCAAGTAACATCGCTAGCTTGCTGCACATAAATATGATCGGCAATTAGATGTATATATAAAACAATTATTGTGTACAGTAAATGTGTTAATATTCCTTACCTTCTAGTGACCCTTCCTGGACTATCTCGTTGGATTTCATCCCTGGTTGGCCTCTGTGGGGTGCTAGGTTCCGCCGGTCCTTTTGTGACATTCTTCCTAGGTTGCCTACGCTTTCTACAAGTGATAAAATAAATTAATATTGATATTTTCATTCAAGTTAGTTGATAAAGAAAATAATCAATTACCCCTTTTTTGCGGTCCCATTGTATGGGCACTTGGAACTAGCTTGTCTGTGACCTTTTCCTCCTCATCATTTGCAAGTCATAGGTCCTCTGATGATCTTCTGTCCCTTTGCATTTGTTGGAACAGTATCGTTATCACCTTCACCCTCATCCCATCTCTTCTCACCTTCACCCTCATTGGTAGATTTTTCTTTCTTCCTGTGTCCACCCTCATCCCATCCCTTGATTCTTAGTTTCCTCATTCTTCCAGCAGATAATTTAGCCAGAGGTGCACCAACGCCAAATGGTAGGTCAACATGTGGCCACTGTGTTTTATCTGTCATTGGCTCAATCTCTCTACCATAAGCAGCCCTAAATCTATTCACAAAGTAGCAGCCATTTTATACTACAAACTTACTATATATGATAGGATGATGATTGATGTTTTACACAATTGTACTAGTGGCTGCATGGTTGATATATGATCTGCCTTACGTTCTATATATGTTTTATGCCTTCTTAATTGATTAGTTACAATACTGAACAATAGTTATGAGCGATATATGATAGTTGTCTTAGCTAGGCTGCATGGTTACTGAACAATACTGAACAATTGTTACAGCTAGGCTGCATGGTCTAGTACTATATCATTTACTACATATGACAGTTTACTGAACTTTTCATGCCTCGAGCAAACTAAATGGATGAACAAGGCAAACTGAATGCACGATCAAACTGAAAGGATCCTTAATGGCAAAAAATATAAATCGTTAGGGGCAATACCTCTGCACATCAAGCATCGGAAGATTGTACTATGTTATCGGATGAGGAACAGTGGGCAGCAGAGCTCTTGCTACAGCTAGAGCATCGTCGCCAGGGTTCTCCATTGGAGGCTGTGGAAGGTCATTGGCTGCACCAGCCGTCGTGGCCTGCCCTCCAGGAGCCACGTCCGGCTGTGCACCAGGCGCCGCAGCGGCCAGGGCAGCAGGCCCCGAAGCGCCTAGGGCTAGGGCAGCAGGCCCCGATGTTGCCTCGACGTCCATGGCAACCGCCCTAGCGTGGACATCTTCAGCTGGAGGCTCTTCGTCCATGGAGGGCAGATCGCCGGCGTGGGGGAGGGAGAGGGCCGGCAGTCTTCACGGCGAAGCGGCGGGCGCTGGTGTTCTCGCGCAGGAAGGAGGAGCGTCGGTGTTCTCGCGACTGCGCGTATACGGAGTAGATGAAACGACAGAATCCAGAATAGATGAATCGATACATTGCTAGCCAATTTCTCTTGCCGAAGGGTAATAGGGTCAATACGAAAAATACATGTATTTTTAGATGACAAAAGAGATTAAAAAAGAAACAAAATGTCATTAGAGCTTATTGTAATTGTTTGGAGTCATATTTTGGAGAAACAAACGTTAGGAGTCCTATTATAGAGAAACCCAACGTTTGGAGTCCTATAATAGCCAATTTCTCCCCTGTTGTTACTGCCTGCCGCCACACACTTCCCCGATCTACTGCTCACTACCGCTGTTCGCAAGAGAGACATGGGCGAGCAATAGCTATGGGGATGGATTTGTCCCCTGGCGCCTTGATTGAGCTAGAGCAGGACCCAGCGCTGGCGGAACTCGTGAGGGACTGGGACTTCTCTCCCGGTAAGAAGTTTCAAGTCGAGGTGTTGCATAAGTTCTCTTCCTCGGTTCACCACACTTCTTCCTCGCCGGATGGTTCGTTCTTCTTGCTCGTGGTTTTTCGGAGATTTCTCTTTAGGCTCTTTGAGGATTCTGTTGCCATGGCTCTCCACCGCTGCCTTGGAGGAACTCCACTGGTTTTCATGTTTCTTTTCAAAAGGAGCGGCATTTTCGCTTCTCTGTTGCATCCAAGAACGTGGGGTTGCTTGTTCGTGCTCTCAAAAGGATCACGACTGATCATTTTGATATATATTTTCATTTGTGGCGTGATGGAGGTGCTGATTGGAAGCGGGAATGGAAAAAATGGGAAAAAGAGGAAGAAGCTAGCTGGACCACAAAGATTAGCAAAAAAAGTAAACACAGGACTTCGGGTAAAAGGGTCTCTTTCAGCAAAAAACTAATTTTAGACTCCTGTGTCAAAATCTCTCCCTAAAGAGCTCTTTTCATCTGTGATTACAGTTGGAAGTCTTCTTCGTCTAGTTTCATCTCCCTCTCGTATGCATATTGGAGCCTCCCCTTTTGCTTTGGATTCTGAGAAGCATGCTGGACTCAGTTCAAACCAAGTTCAATGCAGGGATTTTGAAACCGTTAAAGATGGTCGTGAGGAGTATTCGGCTACTAAAATTTTTCCTGTTGATCCAATAACTTCAGTTGTGCCTGTCCTGATGTTCTTGCTTCTCACAAACTCAATGGTGCTCATTGTGCTGTATCTTCCTTAGTGGTTCCAGTTCAAATGGTTTTCAAAAGGCTCAAGTGAGATCTTGATATTAATTGTAATGATATTCTGGCTGCCAATTCTCTTCAGCCGAAGTAATATAATGAAGTGCAGCTCCCCCAAGGTGAACGTTATAACTTCACTCCCAACCCTTCAACCAGATTATGCTTTTGCTGTTTAAGCCCGAATTATTTAATACGGGAGTGCCGAAGTGATATCAGGTGCATTTATTGTTTCATTTATGGTCACCGGGCTCGAAATTGCTTTAGAAGAAGAGCCCACCTTAAGCTCAAGTGGGCTGCTAAGCCCAGCTTGCAACCATCGAGCACTGTGTGCAGTAATGATGGAAACGTTCAACCTCCTCCTATTCATTGGTCTCTAGGATCTAAGGCTGTTAATGCCCCAAGTGCCCCTCTGCCTTCTTGCTGCTCGCAGAAGGTCACTCTTCACATCCCTACTCCGGGGAAGACAAACACAGAGCAACCAGAGCATCCTCAGCCTCCACCTCCTCCCACCTCCGTAAACAACGCTCAAGCCATGGTGAACTTTGCCATTGATCCAAGGCGTTTCTTCCCAAGCGTGATGATCCTTGAAGATGGTGGACAGCACAGGCGTGCCAGACGCACTGTCTGTGTCTCTGGAGGGATTGTCAAGAGACATGAAGATTATGCCATCGCGATCACTGATGCCCAGCTCACCCCGGCGCAGCAGCTCTAGCTCATGCATGTCACCAGGGACTACATAGAAATTGAGGTACGAAAGAATGTCCTCTACTTCGCGCCGCATCCGCATGGTGTGGGAATCTATCAGCTACATGATCCTTGTCAGTGCGATACACTTGTAGTTACAAGTCCGCATTGGATAGGTGGTCATGAAGTTCGTTTCATTAAGCATGATGAGACCCCAATGAATGTGCGCAACTCTCCATACACTAGAAAGAGCTGGTTATTGCTGCTGGGCTATCCACTGGATTTTAAGGATCCTTTGATCCTGAAGCAAGTTTGCAGTGTCTTTGGGCAGCTCCTGTTCTGGAATTCCAGAGACCATTCTTGAGCGTGTGTTCTGGTCAAAGTGATGATTGATAACCCTCTGGAGGTCCCTCGCAGTCTAGTGATCAAGCATGGTAAAGAGCTTAATGGCTCGGGTCAGTCTTGGACTATTCCTGTGTACATCTTTATTTTAGAGTTCACAAATGCTCAGCCCACTGATGAGGAAGAACCACCTGCTCACAATGGCAACCCTCATCCTTTCGAGGAGCCAGTATTTCCTAGGGAAATCAACAACATAGTTGAGATGGCAGATCAGGTTATGGACCAGTTGATTGAAGCACATCAATATCAAGGGGCCGTAGAGGAAGATCAGAATTCTACTGTCATTAGTGAGGCTACCTCATCCTTCTCTGCCCCCATTTTGCAGCCTGCGCAGGGGGCAAACAAAGAAGTCACCATTGAAGCCCAAGGAAGGGTCCTAAACTCTCAGGGGACTGACCAAGATGAAACTAATCAAGAGCAGCTGCAAGCCAAACAACAGCAGGTCACTGTTCCTCTAGAGACACAGAAAGACACTAAGCAGAAGGTAGCTATCTCAAAATTTCTGGCAGATGGGCTCAAGCAACTGATTGCCACTCAAAGCGAGGCTGGCTGTTCCAAGATAATGGGTAGTCTCAGCATTCCAAACTCCCTAATTCACATTGATTTGGCTGCTCTTGGGATTACATCTCTCAGTATTGCTGTTAATATCCTAGATTAGTGTGATGCTCCTCCGCTCAGCCCTCCCATAAGTAATCTACTTATGCAACAAAACCCTGATGATACTCAGTTTCACCCACAACAAATGTTACTACACCTTGGTGGTGCTCAAATCCACCCAAACATGATAGCTCCTTATGCTTATTCCCTGGGCAAAGGTAATCCAATCACTAGGGTATATTACAGAAGAAGGTTCAAGAACAAGGATTTTGCTACCGTGTCTCAGTTAAACAGCTCTAATAAAAGCAAGAGAAGCATATCTGCAACAAAGAAGAGAAAATGTATTACTCCCACCACCACTATGAAGCTTAGAAGGAGTCCAAGACTCATAAAGAAGCTAGACAGACACAAACCTGCTAGTATCTCCCTAAAGAAGGCTCCCACCAGAAACAAGAACAACAACAAGAACAAAAAGATCAAGCCTCAGTCTGATCTATTGGGTAACATTCTGCTCTCACCTACTCGCCAAGCCTTTGATTTCCCCGACATTTCAACCATTGCTAAATTTACTAATATGGGCACTATCTTCCCTCAAATACCCATTTTGGAGATACAGAAGTTGGCCATTGAGTCCTGTGGCATCGCTCCTTTGGAGGTGTCAGCCGAACTGCTCCTTGCTTCTAGGCCTCAAAAGGATGGAGGAGCAGATTTGTAGCTTGAAGAAGTGCACCAATGAAGTGTTGGCCTTTTAGTTTCTCTTTTGTTGGGGAATGCCCTGTCTTTGAATATTGTACTGAATTCTATCTGAACCTGTTAAGTTGGTCACAGACTGGTTGGATATGTTGCTTCAGAACCTTTTGTGATTCCTGCACCTTCATGTTGGCAGTATTGCATTGGTTTCTTTTTATTGTGCTTGCTGATTTCTGGGATTGGTCCCCTGGTTCACTTTCCTCTGATGTGCTTGTGGCTCACAACATTTAGAAAAATCTTAAGTGCTCAGTTTTAGTCTTTTTGCTGCTCTCTTTCTCCTATTTTTTTCCTTTGGGATAAGAGATGGCTGCTGCACCTACACTTGTTTTTATGGATAACACAATAAATGACAATAGTCCAAACAATAGTGTCGGGTTCATAAATCCGGGGTCCCTCATGGACCGGCTTCCCAACAAAGGCTTAGCCCAGCAGACAACGTTGCGAACAACACGCAACTCATGGGCCAACCCAAACACCTAGACGATAGGCTAGAAGGACAAACTAATCTCCGATCGGAAGGCCTAGCCGAGGAGGAACGACTCCCGCTTTCGACTCCGGCCCACCTCTCTGACCGGAAGGCCTCACGAAGAGAGAACAATGCTCGCTTCTAACACCAGCCCACCTCTAGATGGCCTCTACAACCGAAAGGCTTGGCCAAACACCACTTTCCGAATCTGACCCACGTCTCCAACCGGGGATGAGCTGAACCCCTGCTTACGGCTCTTCTTCAACTGGAGCAATCAGAGCCGACTAGGACCAACCGACCGGAGACGCCCGCTCAGTGAGGACCAGGGAATGGACAGAAAAAGTAAGGCAGGGCACCCAAGTCAACCGCACTACCGAGGAACGTACCCTGTACACCTACAGGACAGTACCCTGCGACCTCCCTGGCATGATAGAACCCAAGCAGTGTTGTAGGTGCCGACATTTTCCCTACAGTGTTGTGGGCGCCATCAACTCCCATACTAGACAAACACGGTAAGGCTCCCCCACATACCTCTGGGCATCAAACAGTGTTGTGGGCGCCGACATTTACCGTACTAGGCAAACATGGTAAAACCCCCTGCATGCCTCTCAGCATCAACAATATGGCATGCACCGACGTTTGCCATACCAGAAGAAGGCGACGCAACCTCCGACGTGCATCTAACATTAAACCGTATTGTGGGCGCCTACTATCATCTTGTACCCGCCGGCGTGGGCAACAAGACTTAGTAGCATACGTACTCTCTCCCTCTCACTTATAGGGCTATCCCCTTCATCTATAAAAGGGGATGTGCTTTCCTCCCAACAGATAGATTGATCAGTTCACTAACACACACGCTCAAACACATAGCACATAGCGGAGCTTCCATCACTCTTGGCCCTCCAGACCAGAGTCCGACCGGACCTCTTGTACCCCCATCTTTCTCCCTTCCGTTTGTAACCCCACAGCAAACTTCGAGCACCTGGGCTCAGTAATAAAGTCACCAACCGACTCAAACTGGATGTAGGGCACATTGCCTGAACCAGTATAAACCCTGTGTCATTGAGTGCTAGGCCACCTCCGATCACAACGTACAACAAAACTACAAATATTTACGTGTTGGTCACTTTCTGCACTGACAGTTGGCGCCGTCCGTGGGGAAGACGCTGTACATTCACACTTTTTCGTCACCGGATGGCCCACTTTTCCACCACCTTCGCCATGGCGGGCTCAAGCGATACGACTCGCTTTGGCTCACTAGAGTTTCCTGCACTCCCACCTGTTGGGATGTGGATTCCACTCGTCTTCGAGCCGTCCCAGGCCTTCTTCTTCGGAAGCATGGACTTCGTCGCTGATAGGCTCGGCGTACTACACCTCCGCGAGGAGGCACTTGTTCCAGCGCCTGTCGAAGGGGCACCCTCCATCGGCTCCGGGACGCACGACGACTTCAACGACGAGGCACTTACGCTTCATTCCGAGCAAACTCTCTACTCAAACCCCACTGTGAGTAATGTGCATACTGTTATTTACTCTCTATTTACTATCTCCCGTCGATTATCCAGAGAGCGCCATTCCCACAGCGCTTCTGACCGCCCACCAACATCTCGAAGTACACCAGGAAGATGAACCCCGGTATTTGGCTCGAAGATTTCTGGCTTGCCTGCCGAGCTGGAGGGGTGGATGATGACCTTTTCATCATTCAATATCTCCCCATCTACATGGGGGAACATGTTCGGGCGTGGCTCGAATTCCTCCCACACGACAGCATCCATGACTGGGCGGACCTCAAGAGGGTCTTCGTCGGAAATTTCCAGGGGACGTATGTCCGCCCTGGTAACTCCTGGGACCTCAAGAGCTGCCAGGAGGAGCCCAGCGAGTCCCTATGGGATTACATCCGTAGGTTCTCCCAACGATGCAACTCCCTCCCTGATGTCATCGATGTGGAAGTCATCAGCACATTCCTCTCTGGGATGACCTGTGAGTCTCTGATCCATAAGCTTGGCTGCCTGAAGCCCCATACCACCCGCGACCTGCTCGACATCACCACTAACCATGCCTCCGGTGAGGAGGCGGTCGGAGCGGTCTTCAACGGAGGCCGAGACAAAGGCAAGGGCAAGCGCGTGGACCAAGACAAGGGCCCCTCCACATAGAGGAGCAACAAGAACAAAAAGGATTGGCGTCGACCGGACAATACTGCGTTGGTCGCCACAGCTGATCGCGCGGGCAAGCAGCCCCAGCAGGGCCTACCTAACCACTTCAACAAGATCATGGATAGCCCATGCACCAACCACGCCTACCCCATCAAACACCTCTACAAGGACTGCGAGCTCCTCAAATGTTTCCTCCAACAGGCCGGCGGGCCGAAAGAGGGAGACGGCAAAGAGGTGGTAGGCAAGAAAGGAGACACGGTGGGCAAGGACGGGGATAGCTTCCCTGACCCCGAGGAATGCGTCATGATCTTCGACGGATCCAAGGCCATCTGCTTCAAGCGCCAGCACAAGGTGCGCTATAGGGAGGCATGCGCCATCAAGATGGCCGTCCTCTCCTTCCTTAGCTGGTCGAAATCTCCGATCACCTTTGATTAGAGGGATCATCCCTCCCACATCGTGAGACCAGGACGCTACCCGCTTGTCGTCAACCCCATCATCCGCAAAAAGTGCCTCACCAAGGTGCTGATGGACGGAGGCAACGGCCTCAACATACTCTACGTCGACACCCTCGACGCCATGCGTATCTCTCGGTCAGAACTCTACACAACAGGTTCTCCCTTCCACGGGGTGATCCCTGGAGGGCAGGCATACTTGCTCAGGCAG